TATATATATATATATATATGTGCGTGTGAGTGTGGGTGAATATGTGTGTAAGCCAAACACATTAATCGGGCATGGCAAAATCTCAGAAATAAAAAATTAAAAACAAACAAACACCCGCCATGCTCTCAATGCTCAACTGTGTATGTCAACGTCGCCATCACCTTTGCGGCGGCAACAACGTCACCAGCAACAACAACAACAACAGACAAAACACAAAACGCTGACACTCGTGAGGTGTTGGCATGTAGCCTGTTGAAGAGCGAAAATATTTACACACGGCCGTACACACATGCATGCATTCAGCATGCACACATCCACATGTACACACACACATACACTTATACACACATGCAGAAATGTGATGAGCGGTGATTGTGAGGGTTGGGTAGGCCATCATCATTGAAATGGGCATCGTTGGCGACGACGACGACTGAATTGAAAAGCGCTCGAGGGCATTGATTATTTCATTTTTTTTTATTGCCAGAGAATCGTTGGGTCCATATTGAAATATTGTGGTGATAACTCGTATGCTGGTCAGTGTGGGGATGGGTTTTGAGGTTGTAAATGTGTGTACGGACCATTAACAGCCGTGCGAGAGATGCTTGTAATAACGTTTACATTGACAAATTTGCCGATGACCGGTGGGCTCATTCGTGTCTATTTTTTTCCCCGAGGCTTTTCTGTTTGACTTCAGCAATGACATTCGGCAAAGAGGCGATATTATCAAAACGATTAAATTAAAATCAAACAGAATATTGCATACATATATTATAACGATATTACCTTCTGCTTACACGTTCAAAACATAGTTATTGAAGAAGACTCGAGCTAGAGCAAACAAAGATCAAAAAACACAATTTAAATTCGATCAGCTCTAGTTAAGACATCGATAAGATTCTAAATCAATATTAATATATTAAGTCGTGAAACTCGTTGTGTTTTTATGCTTCAATTCGTTGAGTTTATTGCAGACTAGAGTCACCAACGCGTCAATTAGAGATAACAGCCGCAAAAGATATCAATTTACAGTCACGAGCCGGAGGAATCGAACTGATGGCCCTGGAGGATGTCAAATTACGCGCACTTGATGGCAGCGTGAGTATAATATATATTCTAGCTTTATTCCATTGAATCTGAACTGCAATAGCCGATTCTGGTTGAGCTGAAGCCTGCATATCCAATGCAACAATTATGCAATTTACTCCATTCTCCTGTTCCCCTCTACCAACTGCACAGCTGCGTTTGGAGTCGTCCAAGATAATTATGCCCAACTTGCGCACTGCTCAGCCGCCGATAATGGGATCTGCTCAAAATCGAGATCACATGCATCGAGTCTTCCAACTGTGTGCCTGCTTTAACGGCAAACTGTTCCTCGCCTCGCCCCATTCGATATGCGCCGGCGACGACTCAACAGTTTGTAGATGATAAGTTGGTCTGGAGGAGTAAATGTTCCCGCATATAAGAGCTATACGTACATCATATGTGTATGTGCATCTATAAGCAAAAGTATTTTATATAGCCATTAGCATATGGAAATGCAAACGTAATTATAGATCATATGTAGAGCATAGCGCACCATAATTGGTGCTCGCGTCACATAGGCATAACATATACTCGTGCATACATATACTGTACATATTATTCATTTGCAACAAATAACATAATATTTATTGTTCTTAAACAACGACGCGAATACAGTTATAGAGTATATGCTCTATGAATAAATTGGTATCCATATTATTATGTGTTGCAGTATTAATATGTTGTAGTACTAATAGAAGCCGATGAACCGTTGTTGTCTCTTAAAAATTCACAATACTGCGAGATTGTCGAGAATCTGAATAGTGCTATCTGTAGTTGTAACATCTATGTAGGTATGTCTGTCTATATACAAATAACTCGAATCAACTAGTGCAATACATATGTATTTAATAACTTGACATATTGGGGTATACAGCTATTTTTATTAATCGAACTAGCCCTCTAAATATATACACACATAAATACGAATGAATACTGAACACGAGAACAAAATCGAGAGCTTCTTGCACTTGCACTTTGTGTACATGCAGTTAATATATCAACATACGAAGTATACAACTAAGTAATACTATATATATGAGTATATATATAGCTGAATGTAATGCTAATCTATAAGTGGTGGATATCTACCTACCTACCTACCTTACTAGCACGTGGGAATGACAATTCAATTCGGTGCGAATGCCACCAACATCAGCCCAACCAAATTTAAGGCGGTGCCTCTTTTTGACAGATAGGACCAGAACTAGATTTCATTTTCAGAAACACATTTGAACCACACCAGCTTGCTTCAATATAAGATCATTTGAATGGACATACATAGATGCCTAACAAAGTATGTTTGAGATTGAGCTGGAGTAAATATAAAATATTTTCCAAGTAACGGGATCGTTGAAAGAGAAATGAGCTGTGTATTTATTCACATACGTTATGTATATAAAATGAATGAATTCCAACACACATTTTCCTACATGCAGCAGATGAGCATTATTACTCAATATGTACCATTAATGTAATCACGAAAATGCTTATGTATATAGGTCGGAAATCGGATAAGTGCGGAAAAAAGTATACAAATAAAATACGTTTGTAGCAATTGTTGTTAAATGCTAACAGTAAATAACGAAACTCTAACATTAATCACAATACGAAGACAATGAAGTATCATTCAATGAACTATAAGAGCTATTTATATGTAGGATACGAATATGAATAGGATGTTAATATATTGCCGTTGAATATACATATGTATGCCATTTAGAGAGTGGAAACATTTAAAACAAAAATGCTTTTAAATGGGAATTTACGAGTATAATTGTAATATTCTTTGTTAGTCAAGTAGAAATCTTTTTTTTTGCACGATAAGTTTACACATATATATCTATATATACATATGGAAACCATATCAGCTATATATATATATTAAAATATATATATAATAAGTATATATATTTAAAAATAATTGAATATAATAACAAAGAAATAAATAAATGATATACCAACATATACTTATAAACAACAACTACAAGAGTAACTAACAAAGAAAGCAGCATATTTCCGCCTGCCGCCTGCAATTGGCTGAATGAACAGTTTTTTTATTCGACGACAAGGATTTTGCGCACTTTTTCCACTCAAAGCACTCAAAGCGAGGCGACGACTCAAGCCGAGTGCTTCGTTGGTTAACGCCTTCTAGCACCACTTCAATTGAATTCAATGCTATTCGAAGTGCTTTGTGGGTGCGTCTAAGCGAAGGCCGCGCCGAGGACACTCGTCAGGCTCACTTGTGGGAGTTGCCGACGAGGATCCGAAGGCGAGCGTAGCGCAGGTCGCACGACGCTCGCTCGTCGTCGACTAGTTCGTTTTAGAGAATTTGAGCGACAATTGAGCTTTTCGAGCTAATTTTGACCGGCTGTAATAATTTGAGTGTGCGGTATCTCGGCGTCTGCTCGAAAAAAGCTCTATGAGTGTATGGGCATACCCGACGGCGCGATACATTATCCACTCTATTTTCCATTTGCATTAGGCTGACCGGCACGCAACGTCTAGGTATATCGCACAGGTTTGTATTCGCAGTATATATTTATTGTTTTCAGTGGCATTTGGCAATCTAGCGAACCGATATACCCACTTGCGTTATGTGCGCTGAGTATGCGAGTGTCCATTCATTATATCGAATGAAGAAAAAGTTCAAGCTAGAAATTTTTAGCGCTTTGGAATATTTTGCACTGTTGCGCAATGTAATTTGGTTTACCATCATTCCGGATTTTTAATAAACATGTGGAGATGCCTCAAACGTGTAACAAAAACACTAATTGAAGTTGGAAAATCTTTGAAAAAAGCCTTTTTGCGGCGCTCCTATTCATTTTCCAGCTAATTTCCAAGATAATTATACTCATATATTAACTAGCTGACATACGCCGGAAATATGTTATCAAAATTTAATAAATAATATTTTGTGAATGTGCTAGATAAGATTTATGGAAGAGCAAGACAAAATATAATCATGCAAATCTATGATGAAAAGCGATAAATATATTGCTTAAAAATTATTAAAGCTTAGTATCAACGAGTGTCAGCAGGAACAATCGATAAAAATGTTTAGAATTTTTAATTTACTGAATGATACGGTTGTTTTGGCATGTTTAAGCATTTAGAGAGTTCGAACTTCGAGCATGCGATGGCCAGTCAAGCAGGAACAGTAGCAAATTTGTCAATTTACTTAACTTGGCAATAATTTTCTTGAAAATGGGTTATCTGGCGAGATAGGGTAATGATAATTAGTTAAAGTTGTCGCTCGTCCTTTTACCACCCCTCGAACACATATTTTAATGTGTCTATGTGTGTGAGTATGCCACTTTACACGCTATATGTATTTAGTATTCCATTAATATTCTAAAAGCCGCTTTTGTACTTTACTTCGCATCATTGGCTCAGTTGCATGTTGTTCCTTTTTTCACATGGCGCGCGCTCCTCTCTGTGTACGTGAGTGTGTGTGCTTTAAAGGATGGAAGAATGTTGCCCAAAATGTTAAACAAGCAAGTAGTAATCGCATAAAATTTTCTAATTACCTTACCAGCACACCCATGCATAGATATGAATAGCTATGGAAACTTTCCACAGCGACGTCTAGTTGGTGGCGCTCATGGGGTTGAAGCCAGGTACTGGTACTGAGTCTGGGCCTCGTTCTGGGTCTGGGTCTGGGTCCAGGTTTGAGCGTGTTACCTGGTGCTGGACTGCTGCTCCCTTCTCACTATAACAAGGAACGCAAGGGGTGACTTATGCGTGAGCATACGTGGCTATTAAGTAGTTTAAATTTAACACGTTACTCAACTTTAAATGGCGCTTGTCTTAAAATATGAATGGGAGCACCTCAGAGCAAGCACCACCTGCCTCGGCCTATTAATTTTTTAAGCACCGCACCAGCTCAGCAGCCGCATCAACCAGTTAACAACAAGCACCACTTGCCTCTCGACCATGCTGTGCCCCGACCTCCTCGTTCTCGTGGTGCAACAGTTGGCTAACGGATCCTGCGTTTTTGCGAACTTGCACCAAAACTGACAAATTAAGTATGCATGAGAGTGGCTGCGACATACTGTCGCAGCTAATAGGATTTGCATGCAACATGGAATCTAATTAATTGTTTCATTTACTTACAAAGTACCCATCTCATATTTGCTGTGGCGGGGCTTGCTGGGCTAAGTCTTCTCTTCCCGCCTATTCTCTTATTTATAAGCATACATATATGTATGTGTATTTATTATCTTTTATTTTTTGATGCCAACAGCTCGTATACGTAATTTATTTATTTATTAAGTTATTAAATACATCGCTAGCCTCATATATTGCTCACGGAAAATGGCGGGTAGTTTGAGTGCTAGACCTGATTCGCCCTCTTGCAGAGGACTGGTGCTGGTGCTGGTGCTGGTGATGATAATGATGGTGATAGTGGTAGATGTTAGGTGGTAGGTGGTAGATGGTAGATGGTAGATGGTAGCAAGGCGCGCGTGTACACTTACCTGACTTTAATTTATTTGCATGCAAGCAGACAATGTAGCGTGGCGTTTGTCGAGAAGGCGAATCCTCTAGAAGGGCGCTCGTCTGTGTGTGGGTATGCACAAGCACTCCCACAGATACATATACATGTAGATAGCAGGAGTAGCAACTGCAAGTTGCCAACTCCTTGGCGTATGCAGCACTTTGGGTTATGCGTGCTGCAATGGCATCATCGACGAAGTCCAGTACATGAGGTACAACTAGTCGTTGCCTCAGATGTTGCCGTTGCTGTTGCACTTGCTGGTGTTGGTATCGGTGCTGCTTTTGGTGTGGTGTGGGAGCCTTATCGGCGGCAGTGCTTGCGCCAGTTCCAGTCTGTCGGAATGTTTGGGGGACCGGTAACTAAACGAATTTATGTCGTAATGAATGTCGGTTGCCGCATATCACGCGCTGCCTATCTGCGGCTTATGCCCACAACGGCACTTCTTTCACCGAGTCTTCTTCATCGGCTTCCATGACCGCATGCCACCTGTTTTCTACTGTCTGATTAAAGTCAAGCATTTTTTGCTGTAGTTCCGCAATTCGGCAAGTTCGAACAGTTACTCTAAACATTTTTGCCTGGCACCTAGTGAAAAGAGAACGTACTATTTACGAGATTGATTATCAGTTGCGGGCAACGCTTAAAAAGTGCATTTACCTCTTTTTGGCAGCCGACCCACCGGCATATCGACCATGGCTCACCCAACAAGCTAACCAAGCTAAGCAAGCTAAACAAGCTGAACAAGCTGAACAAAAGGGTATCCCACAATTTGCTGCTTAAATTACGAGCTGTTCATTTTGTGAGTGCCGCGCTTAACTGTTTCCTCTTGTTTTAACTCATTGCTGTCGCTGCTGTCGCTGCTGTCCCCGGCCCGCCTCCTCGATTTTACCCACCTGCCACTTTTTGTGCGCTTTTTACGAGCTGTTGCCTGTGCCCGCTGTGCGCGAGTGCGTGTTAACAGGCAATTAAATCCGAATTACATTTTTGCTCCTTTCTGCACGCCACTTGCCCCATGTATTCCAGTGCATAAGTATGTGTGTATGTGCCCCTGGGCTTACAAATGGGTGTGTGTCTGTGAATGTGTCTGGGTTGCCTTTCAAAAGTCAAACGGCAGGTGTGCTGAGAGCTGTGCCGCATAGCACGATTTGTTCCCAAATAGCAGCGATAAGACGTGTAAAAGTTCAAGAAGACAGCATGGCCGTAGGACCTTTCCCTCCTCCCGCACCTTAATTTGCCCTGCCTTTCGTTCTTGCAACCATTCGCACGCGCCAATTAGAGATAATTTTTAATTGGAGCCGCCAAATGAAGATTTATGGGCAACGTATTAACTAATCGAACCTAGTTCCACTATCATTTGGCTTTAATTGAATTGAACTACAAAAAGGTCAAATAACTTCAACCACTGGCATTTGCATCATGATGTCAAGGGTCTAAGCCACGAACCGCAAAAAGTTCAACCAATTAGATTTGGGCGAACATCGAATCCGAAACTGCATAACTTAGGAAGCAAATAAACCAATTGGTCTTATGCGAGCATCAAATGGACACATAGAAATCCTTTGCAACCATTCTGAATAAGTCTACAAATATGTCATACTCCTGCAGAAAAAGCAGAAGACAATCAATTAAATTGACTGGAAACATCAAAGGCATTCGATATAGAGAACTGCTGGTGTAGTATAAAACTGATTCGCTGATTTCTCCCAGGAAAGGCGCATAGTACAGTAATCCGCTTTCGAGTAGTGTACAGTTCTTATAGGATTCATTTCCAAAATATTTGTTAATGTAGTATATGCGAGGGTCGCTGCGGGAAGTTTTGCATATGCTTAATAGGTGGCCACATACAGTAAAAGTGAAGTGCATTTGCCATGGCAGGCGCTCCATATCATTACTAAACGCAAATGAAGCCATTTCACACAATACACATGATCGAAAGTAGTAAAGGACAGAGCAAACTTAATCCTTTTGTGCACAAACATACGCTCCATGGGTCGCTTGCCCCCGCCTCCTGCTTGGGGTTAAGCTCGCAGGCCCTGCTGCTGCTGGTGTGAAAATAGTGGCGCAAGCGGAAATCAAATGGAAAACTCATGCATCGTACCAAAAAAACACTTTTCCGAACGCATTTCTATTGTCAGCGGTACTGTCGTCGTGGCTTTCTCTGGGAAGAAACTTTGCTCTGACACTGTGACCGTGTGTGCGGATACGCGCCTTTTGTTTGCTGCCATTGTACGCGTAGTTTTTGTCGTTCTTTCACTCCGAGAGTACTGGATGCCTTTTTATTCGTATTTATATAAATATATATGTAATTCAATGCCCTGAGCCCATTTCAGAAGGGTAGCATTAGTCTTACCCAGACCTACATACCTGCATAATATAATCATAAGAAGAAGGCGTGGCTCCGGACCCCATCAGGATCTCAATACGTCCATTTCGGAGAGTATGCCATTTGAAGATTCAATAGTCGGCTCAGCCAACAAGTTGTTAACTGTTTTCGTTTCGAAAATAGAAAACCAAAAAAAAAAGCATGTATAAATTGTGATCCCATGTGGCCCATGTGGCCCATGTGGACATTTTGGTGCTTTAACCAGGGTACAGGGTATCGCCTAGCCATGACCAACTGTTGTTTATTTTTAAGCAGCTCAGCCAGCAACGCCGTTCACTTCATTTGCCTATACGGAAAAGTCAAGGAGTACTTCACATTGCCGGTGGCGGCTGCCATTGTTACTGCTGCTGCGGCTTCAGCGGTTGCTGCTGCTGCTGCTAGATCTGCTGCTGCCTCTGCTGCTGCTGCTGCTGCTGGCAGCAGTAAAAGGACCAACTTTTGTCGCTTGGTAATGATGGCATTTTAGCATTGTTGTTATTTCTGTTGCTGTTGTTGTTGTTAAAGTTTTGCACACAAGTTTAAACAAAGCAGCCGCCAGCCACATAAACAGTCGACAGGCGAAGCGTTGTTAGGTCAAACAACAGTAAGAGCAGCTGCAAAAGAAGCTGCGTCTGGGTGCCACCTACTGCCGCTGCCGAAGCTGCCACTGCTGGGGCCATTCAAGCCGGCAGGCCCCAATGTTTGCACCCACAAAAATAGCGTCGCCTGTCAAACTCAGTTATGGCCAGGCTCTGTTTATTTAGCAACACCCATAGCCCAGCCAATGCCTTGCCCATTCGTTTGTCGAATAATTAATTTTTTTTTTCTTTTAGTTTGCAGCGACATACATATACGTATACTTACTTACGTATATGTATATACGAGAGCGGCAGTCGCCCACAGCCATGGTTACCCTTTGGACTGGCTTGTTTCATCGGCTATTAGCCATTTCCGAGCGGGGCAATATAATAAAATAAAGTTATTCGGGAAATGTACAATATGTAGGGATAATTGCATACCAAAAGGTTATTATAGCTGTATTCCAATCTGGGAATATAGCTGCGCATTCACAGTGCTCCATCAAGCGTGAATGTGTGTCCGCTGCTGATATTACTTAATTGAAATCATAACATTAAGTCTCATTAACTCGGCAGCCTCATTAAATGCCAACTTTGCACGCCGCGCATCATTTTGCGGTCTAATCAGCTTACGATGTGTCCACCAATTTTGTCGCATAGAGCATCTCAGCGTCCAGTGAACTCAACTGGCAAATGGGAACCAGGGCCCGACTGCTGGTAGCTGGGAGTGGAGCACACAGCGCACAGCACACAATTTGCCACAATATCATTAGCTCAGCTCCTTTCTTCAGACTTACCGCCCCACTATCCAAATGCACCAAGTGGATGTGGATGCACGCTTGACTGCCTCGCACGAGAGTCAGAATCCGGAATCAGAGGTTGAGTATCGGGTGACGAGTGTCGAGCGTCTTGAATCGAGCATCGAGCATCGAGCGTCGCGTGGGACATCAGGTCACAAGTGGTCAGAGGACACGGTGAAAGTAAGAAAAAGCTTCAGGATACACGCAATCATACAATATTCACGTTTCTATTTGACTAAGGGAACTGAAACCTTCACTATGTGAGAGGTGCAGATTGTTGTAAGGCTATCGGACGCATGGCGATTGTTCAAATTACAAGCATAAATGAATATTTATTGCAAACAAATTGGTATTATTATCTCTGCATATGGTATTTTCATAAACATATTGGATATATATATATATATATATATATATATATATATATATATATATATAGAGAGAGA